AGGTACAGTATGTGCAACAGTAGTGATGTCATAGTTATTGTGTGATTACTGTACAGTAGAACCTCGTTTTTACGTACCACAGTTATACGAACCCTCGGTTTTACGTACGCCTCGCATCGACGATGACGTCATCAAAAACCCCAAAAACATTCAAAACAAACGGCCCTTTTCAGAGCAACCATAAGTAAAAAGTAAATGTAGATTAAAGCAGTACATTCATTTGTTCTACCAATAATAACTGTTGTGTCATTTAGATATATCATATGGGATATATAAATTAACATTCCAGGTAAAGACTGTGAACTTCTACGAGGGCCCTGTGAGACATATCCATGCCAAAATGGTGGATCGTGTGTAACTCTTAGTGAAGAATACAAGTGTTTTTGTCCAATGGACTTCACTGGGCCAAATTGCGAACTTGGTAAAAGCTTCTTTGTTTTTATGTGCATAATTTATAAATGTGAATTTTGGTAAAATTTGATTTCCTAAAACATTATTTTCCATTTAAAGTTTATTCACATTTATGTTTAATGTATCAACTTTTTTCAGTCAATACATTTACTGATGCCGTAGAAGTGTCAAGAGATGGGTTCATTGCATTGAGAAGCGATCTAATACCAAGGAAGTATGTACACTGATAATATATTTTTTTTTATTTCCCTCACATCCAACAGCAAGTACACTCACCACTTACAGGATGAGAATGATGCTTTATAAACTAAGCCTCTTTATGAGGCTTAGGGAGTGGAGTTGGTTTTAGTCGTGAGAAAAACCACTGAGCTATTCAACTCCACTGTACTTGTATGGTGTAATAAATTATTATTGTATTTCATTGCTACTACTATTATAATGTATTGTATAGTATATTACATTGATAGAGTTGCTGTATTTTTTAAAAACTTGCATATTTTTCTTTTTCTCTATACGAAAGTGATCATGATCAAGAACAACTCAGAATATCGTTTAAAACGTTCACTCCAAATGGTGTGATCCTCTGGCAGGGTGTGGTAAGTATTCACTGATCCATTTATAATGATTGTTCTCCCTCTGTACACACCAAAGCTGGGGGCTTCCGGCCAGGAATTCTCAGGGATCGTCTAATACAATTGTAAATAACCGAATTGTATGCATTATTATTCTTTCATTATTATTTTCTTATTCTTGTTTAATTATTATCTCATTATTATTATCTTTAATATTTTTATTGTTATTTTGTTATTATTGTTATTTTATTATTATTATTATTATTATTTATATTTATTATTATTATTATTATATTATTTCATTAATATTATTATTTATTGTATTTTGCTCCTTATTCTGTAATATATTGTAAAGCGCTAGTGACACCTTCTCTATTAACTATAGAAATTTTAAAATCTATCTATATTCAGTATTTTATTGTCAGTCAAATTATCATCTTTTTTACTATAAGCCTTAGGGTATATTGCCAACCATTGATTGGGCAACACAAAGAGGGGGTTTTTTGGGCCAAGCATTCAATGTAAATGATTTTTAGTTCCTTTGTGACCTTAAGGTCACAAGGAACTAATGGGGAAATTCGAACATGAAATGTGTGTGTGTGTGCGTGAGCAGCGGGTTCGTAAACGAATAGGCTCCTAAACGGTGCCTCACGGTGGGTATAATGTTTTCCTCATAGTAACTGGTGGACATGTAGTTGTGCAAGAATTGTTTGTTTTTTATGTTAGATGAGAAATGTAGGACGTACGCGATAAAACATATACCCCATACCACCATTTTTAAGTCGTTTTTAGGAGAAAATTTCGATAAGCGCATGCGTCGGAAAAACTTTGCGGACATTTCGTTTTTCATCGCGAGAGGGTAAGCGAGCTCCATAATGCATACCTTGTTGGTGTAGTTGACCAATTGTTTACGGGATCGTCGGTAGGGTTAGGCCTCTGTCGTGTTAATGTAGCAGGTGCACGTGTTATTAAAAAGGAAAAAAGTGATCTAACCAAACTAGGTAGTTGTGGTAAATCGATACTGCTTGTCGTCTAGTAGGTGTAACGTGTGTTTTAGTAAAAATTAACGTGATCTGAACAACATTTTACATTATGGTATTGCATCGAATGTGCTTACCTACCTAAAGTCTTTTACACACGATGAACACGGCAATTGACGTTGCTGTTGGTGTGTAATACGTACAAAACACGACGACGACAGCAGCATTCAGTCAGTCTTGTTAAAATAAATAATATATTGGTCTACCACAAGACTACCATACAGATCAATAAACAATAATCCGCGACAAAATAAAAATCAAGAGTATTTGTAACGATTGAATATGTAGCATAAATGCATTCCGTGAAAACCTGGTGTACAGTTAACTGTACTTCAAACACAGAAACATCGTTGAAATGAAATTCCTCTAGGCCTATATATAAAAAAACGAAAAGAAAGTGGTGCAGAAAAAAACAAATTGTGCACAGTTACTGACTTTAAACACAGAAAAACGTACGTGTCGTCAGTATTATGAAGTTTTTTGTTTACGACTGCTGTGTAATTTTACTGGTTTACAACATATTCATGTCATATACACTTAAATATGTAAAATAAATGAGTATTCCGTATTCTTAACTCTCTGCAAACTTGAAAATAAATCATTGACCGAGGCACGTTCTACCACCATACAGCGCATGCGTGACGTGCAGTATGCAGAGGAGTGGTTGTAGTTAGTTATTGTGATAACTATTCTACTTATTACGCATGCGTGTCACTAAGCAGATTTTGAAGAACGAAAGAATGTTTGTTATTGTCAAACCATGGAGGTATGTCAAACCAAGGAGGTTAAAATAACCTCCTTGGTCAAACAATGAAGACTATTTTAGTAGATGATAAATGACTTCTAAAACCGCCAACTTTGGTTCTGTGGTTTGACCAGTCAAGTTCAAAACAGTGGCAAATCTGCCAAATTGTGAAAAAATAAAAATGAAGGACATTTTGTGGTGTAACCCAACACCACCCCAGTCTTACCATGGTTTGGGTTAAGGTGGGAGCTTTTTAAGACATGACAGCTTTGGATACCCGAAAATGTTAATCATACTTCAAAATTTGTTATCTCAAATTGACGTCCTGATTTCCAATGTCAAAAACACCAAAAAATAGTGACGTCCCTATTTAGAATTAAAAAAAAAAAAATTAATTGCAAGAAGTATCCACTACTTGCCAGTGTGATGAAGGGAATATTTGTCCGTGGTTCCCCGGGTATAATCCCATCCCCATGGACGCGAAACTGTCCCGATTTCGGGGGGGGGGGGGTGGAATTATACCCCGGGATTCCCTAGGCCGAGTGTATGAACAGACGGAAATGACGATCGTTTTGCATGGTGGTTCTCACCTACGATTCAATAGCCTATCAAAACAATATTCGGGCGAAGAAATCAGTCTTGCATGATGTAACGAGTTATTTTTAGCAGCGAATCTCTGTGGAAACATGCGAGTCTTCACGCTGTGATTTAACGATACGATCAGCCCACTGGGCAGGTTTTTTCAGGGACAGACCGCGGTGTTCTCTATCTTTACTTTAGCCGCAGTTAGCGAGCTGCTTATTTTTAGCGACAGTAAACAACAAAGTAATTTACAAGAATGGGCTTTGTGTTTTAATTTATGGCGACCAATGTCAGTTTTAAGCAATTTTAAGAGTTGGCAGAATTCGGAGACATTTCCTTTATTTTTTGAGCATTTGTTAAATTTATCGACCTAGGCCGACTTACCCAAATTCGTGTACGCGAAGTTGGGCGTAAAGTCGGTGTGGGATTCTACCCGGGGAACTATGGTAATATTTTATAGCAGTAGTGACTGAGAGAGTTTTCTCTATTAACATGTTATATTTTCATTGCGGATTTTTTGGGCTCAGTACGGACTCTAAACGTATGCAATTTCTTTTAGTTTTAAGGCGGCAATGACGATATAACATGTTTATTGTTGAAAAAACAAAACCAAGCTTCGAGCTAGCATGACAACAAAAAGTGCTTTAATGACACACAAGCTGGAAATGTTGAACAGAGATTATAAGTGTCATTCGAATAAATATTGACGTTATGACTCCAATGAGATCCAGCGAAACAAGCAACATACCGTGCCCTTAGATGTGTATAAGAGACAGAACTATAACTGGGTGAAGTCTGTAAGCCTACTGATTAAAATGTAACTTAAATATTTTTTCTTGGTTGTGAGGTAAATAAACAGTACACTTGAAATTAAGTAACTCTTGTTTTGTTTGTACAGGAATTAGGATATATAATTGCCATCTTAATTTTTTGTCACCAATGAATAGCGTCCCTATTTTTGATATTCGAATGTTGGCAGGTATGTAAATATACAGCATTTGATGGATGGACCTGTATGGGGGTGTAGGTGTACGTAAAAACATTAGAAACCATTACTGGACTACAAATCCCTCTAAACTAGGTTTACGTACAAAGGAACGTACACACCCGCAGGGTTCTGGTTTAGTATTTTGTTTGTTGGGGAAAGGGTATTTTCAATTACTGTTTTTTTTTTCTCTTTTTAGAATGAAGGCAAGAGTGGAAGACAGAGAGACTTCATTGCCATTGGTATTAGAGATGGTTATGTAGTTTTTACGTACGTACTTCGTCTGAAATTTGCTTACATGATGTATCAAATGTGATCCAGATTGTACCAATAATACCAAAAGAAAATGTATAAGTGTTTCTGGTGGCAGATGAGGGGCTGGAATGAAAACAAGTGCAACTTCTGCTACTTTGAGGTTATTCTGGCTTCTTCATTGGCCAAATGTGTACACTGGGTTATTGGTGTTTATCAATTAAGGGTTTCAGCAACAGAAATCCTGAACTCGATCAAGGTGCTCATTAGGCAGTCTTCCCATACTGCACTCCACAATTATTCTGTGGCCCAACATTTGTTAACTTTAGTGATCTGACCAGAACTGGTACTTTAACGTTATATAGCTGTATGCTACAACATCATGTAGCATATTTAATAGAAAATTCATGTTGTGGTGTACCATAACAAGTTTTAAATGAATTTTATAGTAAACTATAAATAATAATTAATTGAATAATAATAATTATTAATAGATACCTTTTAATTTTCTAAATACTTTCTGTGTAGGTTCCAGCTAGGTTCTGGGGTAGCAACCATAGACTGGCGTCACTCCAGGGTTGACGATGGTGTAGAACACAGTGCTTTTATCCAGAGGAGTGGTAACCAAGGTTTCTTATCTGTTGATGGGAATTCAACAATCACAGGTCAAACACAAGGACAACACGTCAGGTTGGATGTGCCTGGACCAGTTTACCTAGGTCAGTATTTTATGTACTTGCATTTTAATCAGACAATGTACAGTACATGCATCTATAATTTGTAACACCAATGTGCAGGGCAATATTCAATGCAGAGTGGCATTTATGATGCGACATTACATACAGATCAGTAGTATATCTAAGAAATATTATGGGTAAGCTGATTAATTTTTGGTTCAGTAAATTTCCTGAGTGGGTGGGGAGCCCGCCTTTTTGGAGTGGTTCGTTCCTCTATTCCAATCTAGTCCAAATTTTAGTTTTGAATGGAGAACTAGTAGAAAGCATCCAGGCATATGAACACAATATAGACAAAATTTTGATTCAGTATCAATATCATGTCACCAGAGCACATTGCTTGTACAAAGTTTTTCTTGGCCTTTCATGTAGGTGGAGCTCCAGATGTGGCCCGACTAACAGGCGGTCAGTTCACCATGGGCATTGTAGGATGCATATCAGACCTACAGATACACAGTGGGCAAGTGAACCTTCAAAGTGAGGCTGTAAGTGGGGAGAATGTAGGCCCTTGTATCTAAGACACCATCTTAGCATAAGAAATGCCTCCAGAATCCTGTTTTCTATTTAGTGTTTTTATCGTTCATAATGTTAAAAGTGGGGTTTCATTACTTCCAATGCTGCATAGGAGTATCCCATGTCAAAGGTCAACAGGGTTTACTCTGAACATCATGCCAATAAGTACTGTCATTGATTTAAGGAGAAATGTTTTGAGTACAAATTTTTGTTTTATTGTAATTATACTTAAACCTAAAATATATAGGTATAAGCAATGAGGACAGTATTACACAAAAACTAACAGGAAGAATAAACAATTATGTTAACTTAAAATATAAAAGGAGTATTAGATCTGTCTCTTATACACATCTAGATGTGTATAAGAGACAGGTATTAAGTAAAGTAATAAATTAAACCATGGCATGTCTAGAGTGCAAAGCAGCACCTGATACTGGTTTAGTAATTGTCTAATAAATAATGGCCACCTGTTTAGATCTTTCTAAAATACAATGCCATTAAAAAAACTTGATATCATTACAGTAGGCCTACATACAGCTGGTTATCAGATATCAAAGGATCAAATAAGTGTTGTTTTAGAAGATGCTTCCTCAAGTTATGTAAATTTTGTTACTAGTATTCACATTTTATCAACCAAATATGCAGTTTCACTCAAAGAAGGTAACAATTTCAAATTTCTAAATATGAATATATTTCAATATCTGTATTAAATGAAATCTCCCACTACTCTTTTTTTTTGGAATGATCATCCAGTACTGTAACAAGAATCACCAGTGGCATGAATAGTACAATACTGTAGTATCGTTAGTTATTGGTAGACTTCACCCATTTGGCTATACAGTATTTATTTTTGGATTAGCATAATTTTATCCTGGCAATTTCTGAAACGATAAGTCCGTCAGAGTTTTAAAATTAGGTTGTTGTAGATTAAATTTAAAGTGAACAATTACCAAGAGATCATGTGTCTTGAACGGATTGTGTGATTGGCTGATCCTGTATTTAAAACCAGTAATAATTCCTGTTATGTATTCCATTACCAATATGTTTGTTATATAACCTAGCATCTGATTTGTATACGATTTTATAGTTTAGAAGTTCTAGAGAAAATATGGAATCACATGAGCATAATTAAACAAAGCAGTTGAAGCAACTCATGCATGTGTATAGAAAATCATTTTAGAAAGCATTAATAATTTTACAATAAAAAAAAGGACAATTTTAAAATTTATTCATACTGTATTTTTAGTGGAAATATAAGCAACATTTATATTTAATTGTGAAACTTTCTTCAATAATTTAAGTTATTAGAATGTGTATACCAATGAATACACTAAACTACACACATTGTTATTAGTTCAGACTCCAGCATTGTGTTTTTAACTTGTTTATCTTTACCGATTTCATTGATCTTGTACTCGGTGAATTGTACTTTTTCAATTACACATGTACTTTAAGTTGTAAATTTGTTGGAGACCAACAGTTGTATAGCATGACATACACTTGGACAAGTATAAAGCATTGTCTACATTTCCAGGTGTATGTCATGGGTATAGATTTTCATTAGTAATACTGCTATGGCATTTCTTCCAAATTCAAAACAACAGTTAATTCATTACCAGAAAAAAGACCACTCTGTACCTGGTGAAAATATCAGTAAGCACTGACACTTTTCTATATTTCTAGATCTTTGTATAGCAGACTGAATATTAATATTTTTACCAAATTTCATTTTAAACAAAGTTTGCACATATACTTAATGTCCACGTTACTTCAAGTTAAAAGTACTATAAATGCATTTGTAAGTAGCTTTTTACAAATGCAGACCATTCTTATTTTTAGTTATTGCTAGTTTTCTCAAAAGATGTCACAACTCACAGAACACATCTTGCAAAGACAGAGAAGGGTCACAATGTCCGTAAAGGAAAAGAACATCCTTACATTTTATCGACTAATCGCTCAATTTGTAGAAATTCGAACATTTTAGTTATAAATTTTATATGAAATTATATTAGCAGGTTATTTAGGATATGTATTCTAGTATTGAATTCAAGTATTTTATTTCATTATTCTGTGGCAACTATATTTTAAGCTGTAGTGAAATATTTAAGTCAGTTAGCTGTCGTAGAAATATCTAATAAAATGAATTCAACTAACAAAACTTCAAATAAAACTTCTGAAATTGGTATTTACATCTTTTCGTCATATGTCAATTATTATCTATGATTTAGTCTGTCAATGATTCATAATTCTTTTTATTATTTCATTAATTAATGATATTCGGGGTTTGCTGTTCTCGTCCTCAGACTGGAGGATAGCAAAGAAGCTTGACATATCAATTTTATTAATTATACATACACAAAATTTAGTAAACATCGTAAAATGGACGAAATCAAAATATATTTGATGTATATTTTCATGAAAATCAAAATAATACACCGGTCACCCACTAATGTAATATTAAATACTAATGTAATAAAAAATCAAACACTGATGTAATATTAATATTATTTCTCTGTTTCACCTCACTAGCTAGTGTTGTTTGGTCCAGGTTAGGAGGCACCGGATCCCAGAAAAGATCAAGACTTAACCGATGCTAACCGGAGTACATAAACACAGATCTCTGGTTGGTGGTGATGGTGTCGGTTTGGGTGCTAGCTTGGTGTTTATTGTCTTTTTTTGTTTTGTTTTGTTTTTTTCTGGCTTTTTTCTTTGTTTTCTTGACTGCAATATTGTCGAGCGCATAGAGACCTCGTTTCTTTGCGCTATATAAATCCATCTATTAATTTTTTTTATTATTATTAGTATTATTATTATTAAGCAATTATAATCAGATCTGAGTACACGATAGGAAATGGGCTGAAGGAAATGGCTCCTAAGGCTTCTATTTCCAATAGTGTACGAAATTATTCAACTATGATTGTTTAATAAGTCAGTTGATACCTTGACTTGTATGAGACACAGAAATATTTTTAGTTGCGAAATTTTCGGCAACTCCTGTTAACTGATGTTATTAATACTCAAGCGCTGACGAAGGTAATACATTTACATTTACTGTCGGTCTGAAAATACAAAATACTATACATAAATAGTTGTTCAATTAAAATGCGCTATTTTTAAGTCTGCGTCAGCCTGCATGATCAGCTGCTCTGTATCGCGATTCAACTGTTCGCATGGGCCTCCTTCTATTCTATTCTATTCAGACCTGTCGGTGTGTTTTCGTATTGGATAAGGACAGGGTCTGTAAGATGGACCAGTGCACCGGTGCCCCCCTACTATTCTCGAAGGATGTGCTGGGTTCTTTATAGTGCATATGAACCAATTGTGTACACTGGGTCTATGGTTTATAGTCCTTATCCGAGATGACTTGCTCCGCCCAGAGCATAGATAGGAACGTGTATTTGAATCAATGCAAAAATAAAAGAGGTGATGATTTGATACATTGACTCGGTCTGCAAATACAATACTAAATAGGTCTATTTCTTCAAATAGCTCTACTTCAAAAAATTCTACTATGTAAGCTAAGAAACTTCACCTCGATGCTGCGGAACTAGGACTTCGCAGATTACTGTATGCACAGTATATATATTCGAAAAGTTTTTGTTTTCTAGATTCTTTAAAAAATACACTTCGTGCATTATGAGACGTCTATTATTGAATACCTTTGAATTCATAGTTTTTCGCTACTTTGCTATGGACAATTATTCTTTTCTTTTCTTTCTTTATTCAATATCAAAATCGCAGTCGAGGACTGAATTAAATGATACTTACAATAATTACAGAACAATAATATGAGACGTCTATTATTGAATACCTTTGAATTCATAGTTTTTCGCTACTTTGCTATGGACAATTATTCTTTTCTTTTCTTTCTTTATTCAACATCAAAATCGCAGTCGAGGACTGAATTAAATGATACTTACAATAATTACAGAACAATAATATAAAAACATCAAAGGAAAGTAATATAAAAACATTGAAGGATTAATTATACATAAACAAGACACAAACAGCACAGACATTCAGAAAAAGATTAAAAACATGAAAAATTGCATTATTTACAAATTATTATTAAATTTTTAAATTTTATCAATACAAATTCGCAATCAAGGCAGAATAAATTGAAATTTACAAAATTAAGGCAAGTAGGCAAATATAAAAACATCAAAACGTCAATTAACCACTGGCACAATACATAAAAAAGGAGATAAAAATGACATTAAATTTGGAAACAAGCAGCACACAACAGGTTAAAAAAACTTAGGTATTAATATCGATTATTTTAATTATTAATTATTGGATCATTAAAATCGTATCATTATTTTAGTAGTTATTATTAACATCAAAATATAAAAATTCAATCAGGCGAACAAAGCACACAAAAAAGGTTTCAATTAATACATTAAAATTGGGAAGAAAAACGCGACATGAAAAAGTTCCAAAGTAAAAAAAAAAAGGTTGCCATGCATTATTTCAAGGTTACTATTGTACTATTATTGTCATGTACTGTAGAAGTCATTACCATAATTATCATAAATTAACCACCAATCATTGTAATTAAAAGTCAATACCATCAATAACAATCATAATTACTAATAATTATGATGATGAAGAAGATGATGATGAGGAAGCTGTGCAAGATTAATTAACAGGCCTTTTGATGTGAAGTGTCAAGCGAGGCCCCGTAGCCTAAGTTACGGTTGGGAATTTGGAGACATTATCGTCGTCGTCAAATGTTCAATGCACACAGTCGGACAGTAGATGATTTATGATATCTGTTTTGTATAGAAAGTAATCTGAAACCCATAAAATATCAGTTCCGGCATTCATTTTTCTGTCTGTGGAAAATATAACATATGAATCATACAAAATAAAAAGAATTCAAATAAAATTTAAAATATGTAAAAAACATCTACACTAAATCAAAATGGATTATTCACTGCCTATTGGATCCCTGTTTTAGTATTGCAGGGGTTCTGAAGGTTTTACAGTATAACCAATCCCCGTATTTCTGATAGATTGCTGATTAAAATGTAAAATGTTTAAGATTTTATATTCAGTACATTCTCAAATGTTATGTAAATCTCATATAAGGTCTCTTCCAAAATTACGTTATATTCATGCACCGAAGTAGAATGCTTAACTTAATAATTTTGATATGTTTTATGTTGAATGGTTTTTAATGATATTATTACAGTCTAATATGACCACAGCGCGTAAAAAACGTTTGCGCGATGCCTTTGAAGTCCCATGTGTTCCCCGCCATCAAATTTTCAGCAGGCATAGTTGACCAAAAAATTTAACATGACGAAATGGAGAGCTTCTTTTCTC